CTTCTCTTTTCTCCAGGCTTCAGCTAACATCATGGACCCTGGATGCTATTTTTCAGTTCAGTCACCGGAATTTCTTAACTGCACAGCAGTTTTAAGCAAGCGAGATGAGAAGGTAAACTTACACAGAATGGAAGAAAACAAGACCATATTGCAAATTCAGGGCAAGACAGTTGGCGTGGAAAGGGGATAACTTGCTAGGAGTTGATGAAGTGTCTGTTAGAATGCAATGGTATTTGCATGGTAACCTATTTCGGGTTTTTTTTTTTTTACATCTTGGCTTCAAAGGGTCTTTAAAATATTCCTTAAAAAATATATCAACAACGAAGAATCAGAAACCCGCCACATTTCAACCTTCCCTCAAACATTCGGCTTGCTCCAGGAGCTGACGTCCTCGGATTCTGATCAATGCGGTCTTTAGAAACACTGATCTCATGTTCTGTCTTCAGTTCTGGCCGCCAAAGCTGCAGCAGCCGGCTCTTTAATTTATGGCAGCCGGTTACACTTTCGATCCCATTTCCTTCTGAACCCTTTCCCTCTCAGGTGGAGAAGATAAATGCAGCCTCGGGTCTGAGAAGCCGGGCGGGGTTTGTGGGTGGGAGCGATTCCGGATATCATATTCCCTGGGTGAGGTCTGGTACCGGGGGGGATTAAGTCCCCCGGTTCCATTTAATGAAATTGCTGAGCACTTGTGACACTGGCGCGAAGACTGCGGAAATGGGGCGGAGGTGGAGGAAACAGCTTCTCGCCTCCATTCACCCTCCGCGCCGGAGGGAGGCTGGAGTGAGAGTGTCAGCCCCTAGACAGGGGGCGGGGGGGCCCCCCCGCCGCTGCAAGGGCGCCCCGAGGGCTCCGCTCACCTCCTCCGCACCCCCGCCCAGCTCATTCCGTTTCCTCCTCCCCCAAGTAGCGACCTGCCCGGCCACGCCGCTGCAGCTTCTTGGCTGCCCCGGCGGAAAAGTCGGAGCCGGGGACCACTGGGGGAGGGAGCAAAGCCAGGAGGCCACTTGGCCGGGGCAGTCTGGCCGCGCTGTTCTCCATGCTGCACACGTCGGACCCATTTCCCACGCTGGCTTGGCTCGGCGGCGTTGTTGGTCGAGAGGAGAGTGGGGAGGGCGGGTTGGAGACTACCTCCCGCTCGCCAAGAGGAAACCACTCCACTGTGAAGGACGCGCTGCATCCCCCAGTCATCCGGGAAGAAATGTGCAGCGCGCTCGGGCAAAGCCGCCCACACCTTCGCCCCCCTGCAAGTGTGCGCCGCGCGAGTGCTCGCAAAGCGGCGGGCAAAGGCTTCCAGCTGCGGAGGGGCTTATTCAAGTTGACGGTCTGGGGAGGGGAGAGGGAGCGCGCTACGTCTCTGCCCACGAGGCTGCCTGAAGTTTGCAAAATCTTAGTAAAAGCCGGGAGGGGAGTGAGTGCACTGCACCATATTGTCGCGCATCGGAATGCGCCGCGCCAGGCCACCGGGCGCAAGCGGCTTCCTCCTTTCACCTCGGGAATGGGGAAAGGGGACTGGAGATGAAGGGAGGCAGGAGTTCTCGCCAAAGGGAAGTGAGGGTTGGCGTGGCCGCCACTTAGCCGGTAGCGAGGGCGCTGCAGCGCCCGCCCCCGCCCCCGGCTCGAGACTGCGGCGGTGCGCACTGAGCCTGCGCGCCGGGCTTTTCTCGCTGATGCTGCAGATACAGAGCTAAGAGGCTCGGGTGGGAGAGGGGGAAGGCCGGGTTCCCGGCCCTATCCTCGGAGGAGGAGCCGCCACCCCCGGAGTGATGCTGCTGTAACAGACTGGAAAACCCTCGCCAGCTCTCTGGCACACTACACACGCTGCCGTCCTCCGCGCTCCTGCGAGCCCCCGTGGGGAGCGCCTGGAAACCTCGGCCGCCTCCTCCCCACGCCTGCTCGCTGCGCCCGCCCAAACAACCGCGCGCCGCATCTGCTCCTAGACTTGATCGCTGTTTGTCTCGTTTAAATCATTGCGCCTCCTCGCCCAGGGCGCGTAACGAAGAATACCCACACTGGAAGGAATCCCTTCTTCCTTTTTCTTTTCGCCTTACCTTTTCCTTTAAGGGGAGGACCTTAAATGTCAATAAATGGGGCCGGACCAAACCCCAGTCGCAAGTCTTTGGAGACGGTAAGCATTCTTCCCAAATATCTTCTCTCCGCCTCGACCCTCTTAATCCTAGGAGGGCCCCCTCGTGTAACCGGCGCCGGAATCGAGGAGGAGGAGGAGGAGGAGATGGCTACAGTTCGGAAGACGCAACCCGGACCCAATGTCACTGGCTTTGGCCATGACTGAAAACTGGGGAAGCCTCGCGTGGGGGATGGGGGACCGCAGGGACGACCAAGTGGCACAAAGTCAAAAGGAGAGTAAAGGAGCGAGGGACACCTCGATACACAAAGTTGTCATTCAAGTTTATTTCCCTTTTATCCAGATAGGTGACGCTACACTTGGCCAGCTACTCAAGGCTGCAGCGTTTCTGCTCAGAAAATAAGATCGAGGCTCCCAACGTGTGTTCATTCCCCAGGCGCGCGCGCGCACGGTCTGTCCCCGTAGCAAGCACGATGACAGGATGCCCAACAATTTTAGGAATGCCAAGCATTTAAACAAAGCCAGGCACCCCCCCTCCCAACACACACACACGCACACACACACACACACGCCCCTTTTGAACCCTCCAAAGTCTGTGCTCCCAAAAAAGGCTCCGTCTCCCGCTCTCTCTGGAGTTTACTGTCTTCACTACTGCAGCGGGTCGTGGTTTTTCAGCACACCAGGCTAGCTTCCAGCGCGCACGCGGGTTCCCCGAGCTACCCGATAACCCGGCCCTAACCAAGATGCGAAATCGCGAACCCGAGACACTTTCCGGGGCGAGGAGGCCGGCCATGGCCTGAGAGGGGGAGAAGCTGCAGAAACGTTTGCTGGCAGCCGCCCCAGAGCTCTCACACACGCGCTGGGCATTAGTCAGAGGAGAAAATTCACCAGCCCGAAGGGGGGAAAGCAAGTCCCCCCACCCCACACCCTGGAGACGGCGACTGCGCGCACTGGGGGTCCTAGGCTTTTGCCAAAGGGGACGAGCCGGCAGTGAGCACAGTCGGAGCGGCCGGCCAAGCTGAGCTGGGCTTTGCAGAGCGCGGCGGCTGGCTGGTGCTCGTTCCCGCCTCCCTTCCCGGGGCCCTTCTCTCTCTCTCTGCAAGTGTGTAGTTTCCGCGGCTCCGCTGCCACCCCCGCCCGCCCC